TTATTAATCATTTGGACCTCTTTCTGTAGGTTTTGAATTGTTTCCAATGCTCTATCTATCTTACTTGATTGTTCCTGTAGCACTTTCCTGACTTCCTCATCATTCCTCTCAACTGCATTACATAGTGTCTTGACACCTTTCATAATCATCCCCAGGAATTCCCTCTCAGGCACTTCCAAAGCCTGCCCATCTTCCAGCATGGAGTGCAGGTCTCCCCCCAGCTCATCCGCCCCAGTCACTTCATCTCGTCCCTGGACATGTGCAGATATGGTCGTCTGCTTCCGTTTCTTGGGCATCTTCAGGGGTTATCTGTGGCCTCAACACTCAGATGGGTATGTATTTTGGTGTCTTTTGATGCTTTCTGATTGCCTCCAGGTAGATGCGATCAGGAAATGGGCTTCCCCCTCCACTCTTCTTCCCGAGAAGTTTCAAGATACCACTCCTGGTCGTTTTGACGTAACCTAGGATTTAACTTTCGGCCCATTTCCTCCTCTGTCTGCTTGTCCCACTCCACAATCCCCGCTCAGGACCTGTCTCTAGCTGGAAACTCTTTGAATATCTTTTGACATAAAATTATTTAACTTGGTTTTTGCACAGCCCTTTTTTTCTCTGATTTTAAAACATATTTAAGGGAAAATATATTAGAAATAAAAACTGTAGAAAAATACAAGGTCAACATACAGAAATCAGTTTTATATACACTGGAATAAACTATCTGAAATGAAATTAAGAAAGTGATTTCATGTGCAATGGCATAAAATATACTTAGCAACAAGTTTAGCAAAAGAAATAGAATACTTGTACACTAAAAACTATACAATATTGCTGAAAGAAATTTAAAAAGACCTAAAAATAAATGTAAAGACCATTTATATTTAGTTTGGGAGACTTAATGTTAGAATGGCAATGCTGTACTTTTCAAATAGATCTATAGATTCAGTGCAATTCCTGTCAGAATCCTAGCTGGCTGTTTTACGCAACTGATAAACTGAAATTCATACCTAATGCAAACAAACCAGGAGAGTCAAAACCACCTTGGAAATAAGAACATTCTACCCGTTAGGTCCATTTATCTAACCATTGCCCTACTGATGTTGGAGTTATCCCTATCGCATTGCTATGTCACGTACTCAACATGCACACTTAGGGGTCTGCTTCTTCTTTTTGCTACTCACAAAACTCTAGATTTTATTCAGGGTTTACAGAAAGGGGGTTGTCTACAAACAAGCTAACAATAACAGGATGTGATAATCTAAACTAGAGTTTTGAAACTTAGAGACTTACATACCCTTAGCTAATGTTATAATTGTGTATTACTTAGGTAAAAGTTCTTTCTTCAAAGAGGCAACAGAATAACATGGATTGAAGAGACTTTCGAACACTTGCCATCTCTTGCTGCTGAGTATCCATCATATTTTTTTTCTGCAACATAGCCATTTCTTTTCTACATTCATTTTGTGCACCACTCAGAAGATTTTCATGGTTATTCTCCATTTCCTCCATACTAGTTAGTTTTTCGTCTTGTTCCTCAGTTTTCTGCACATCTATATCCCATTGCTGAAACAAAGTCAGAAACTGCTGAGAATATTCCTGGCTGTTTCTGTCTCCACATCTTTCCAGCATATTCTGTACTTCACCCCCGAGATCATGCTCGATTGTTCCTGTGGAAGACCTTTTCTTCGCATGCTTATCAGTTGCTGGAATCTTTCCTTCTAGAAAATCCTCTTCAGAACCACTCAGATTCTTCTTCTTGACGTTCTCAAACTCATAGGCACAGATGATCTGCTCCTCCATGGTTTGCTGCACAGATTTCCCTGCGTGCTTTCTTCCATTAGGGGCCATCATGGATGTTTTCAGCTGTATGTACTTCGTCTCCGCAATGCTTGTCTCAGGGATAGCTTTCTTAACTTGCTATTTTGATACTCTGTTCTATTTGTATGTCTGTGTGCCAGAAACTTAATGATATATTTATTTTATCTTTTCAAAGAGCTTGCCTCTTTTCTTTGGAATTGGCAAAAAAAAGTAGGTTGTAATTTTATTGGAATTACATTCAATTTATAAATTTGGAGAGAATGGAAGTTTTGGAATGTGTTATGTCCATAAATTTTTATTCAAGTCTTATATCTGTAAGTATAGTCTTAATATTTTTAATTTCTATAGGTTTTACATACTACTTTTCAAATATTTAATATATGGGGAACATTATAGTTCTTGGAGAAATTCCATTTTCTTTTCATTCCAGTTTTCAGTAAATTTTTGAAGTCTCCTTGTTTTTTTGATGCATTCATGAAAGGAATTCTTTCTCCTACTGGTTCTAGTTTTTCAGTTGGATCTCCTGGATTTTCTCCATAGACGGTTATATAATTTGCAAATTAGTGTTTCTTCCTAAGTTATACTTACAGCTTTTTTTCATGCCTTATTAAATTTTCTGGAATTATGTTTTTATTGTGATTTGAGTGCTAATTTACATGGGAGAACATCAGCTTTACACTCATCCTATCATATTTAATTTCATTGCAAAGATTACAATCCCTTCCATGCATCGTCATTCAATAGTATTTGCTCTATTCCCTCTGGTTATTTTCTTTTTTTTTCGATGTACACCAAAACACTCAGGAATACATAATCATTCAAACCACCAAAGGGCATATGTTTCAAGCCTGCCCCTCCTCTCCCTCCATGAGTCTAGAGTCCCCATCCACTCCATCCCTCCACGTCATCATCTCTGCCTCCATCTCTGGCATCACTGCTTCGGTGAATACAGTCCCACACTCCGCTCCTGCTCTTCTCTGATGGGCCCAGGGTCCTCCACTCCTGGACTGCAAATCAACCACTCCCCTCCTTTTGTTACAAAAAAATCTACCTTTACATTTGCAACAATCACAATCAGTCCTGATAACAATTACTCACTATTGAACCACAAGAATCTTATCCCCATCTCCTTTTACTAGCCCCGTCTTGTTATTGTTGTTAGGTGCCATCTACTTGGTACTGAATAGTGACCCTGTATACAACAGAACGAAACACTGCTCGGTCCTGGACCAACCTCACAATTGTTGCCACGCTTGAGCCCATTGATGCTGCCACTTTGCCAATCGCTCTCGCTGGGGGTCTTCTTTTTCTCTGACCCTCCACCTTACCAAACATGATATCCTTCTCCACTGACTTGTCCCTCCTGACAATATGTCCGAAGTATAATACCCTGACCTCCAAGGAGCACTCTGGCTGCACTTCCTCCAACACAAATCTGTGTTGGAAGAAGCCCTGTCTAGACAGGTTGAAAACCACTCAGTGGAGATTCTACCTTCCCCTGCACCCTCTGAAACTAAACTCCCCGTCTTGAAAACTTGTAGGCCAGTCACTTGGTGCCTTTGTAGACCACCCCCACCTAATTTTAGGTAGCCAATATCTAAGTTGCCCATCCCTATCCTGTGTACAGAGGGGGTGGGAATCATCCTTGCTGTGAAGATTCCTTCCCTCTTTTAAGCTACTACATCCATAAGTAAAGGTCAAGTTCATCAAATTGTAGCAGATTGCACTTTTTCCATCTTGTTTCTTCCTCTAGTTGAGTTCTGATCATCAAGCCATTGAAGCCATGTCACATGGGTACTATCTGCAAGTATGAGTGTTCTTGTGCATCTCCCTTCACTTCATATCAGCTGGACACTTCACTCTCCTCCCTAGCCCTCTGTGGCCATGTCCCTGTCCATGGACTCAGGAATCCCCAGGTCGCACCATACTGCTGGCCAACCAGGTATCTCTCCAGGTTGACAGGAGTCTATTGAATGTGGTCGTACTCACCCCACAGCTTCAGTGCTGCTCCTTTCCCTATTCTTGACTTTAATGGAACTGCTTCTAGCTTTTCAACATGAAGTAGATTCCATATTTGCTTTTGGTTTCTGGAATAAATGTTACTAATTTAATAATTTTAAAGATACCCTTTGAAATGATGGTAACTGGTAAGTTACTCTTTTACGTAGGAATTTTGCATTTATATTGCTTAATGATTAGTTTATCACGTTATCTTAATTTTGTTTTGGCATCAGTGTTTGTTTGCATAGGAAATGTATCTGGAAGCTTTGCCATCTTTTATACCACACAAAGCACACAAATTAAGAATGCCCTGAAAATTTACTAGAACTTGTTGATAAAATTATTTGGATCTTTATCTTTCAGATTCCCCTAAATCTTGGTTGTCTTTTTCTGTTCTTTCTATGGTTATTGGTATAATGAAGTTTTCCTAACCCTCCTGAGTCAAACTTAGTGCTTTGTACTTTTCCTCAAAAATCATTAATTAATTTCACCTAAATTTTCAAATTTAATGACATAAAGATATTCAGAGTAATCTTCTGTTTCTAAATGTCTTCACAGTTTGTGTTTTATAGCTTTCCCATTCCGATTGTTATATATTTTATGTGTTCTTGATCAGATTTCCTTGATGTTTATCTGGCTGTTTACTTTGCTGGTTTTAAGAATCAGTACTGATTGTATTTTTCATTGCTAAAGTAGTTGTTTGATAGTTTCTTAAAATTGCTGTGTAGTGCTGTAGGATAGCACCGTACTGTTAAACACAAGGTTTGCAGTTCAAATCCACCAGCCACTCTTCAGATATCCTATACAGGGTCTCTATGAGTTGGAACCAATTTGGTGGCACATGCAACAATGACACTAGGTTGTTGTTTCTAAGGGACTCCATTTTTACGATAGCTAATTAATGGTGTAATCAGATAGTGGCGAGTACACCGATTATGGTGGGACCATCCTGCTCTTCTTCCCCTCCTTCCATACATCTGACATACTTGTGACTCTTTTTCTGCAGGAATGGCAGGGTTTGCAGCAATTGTTGCATATGGATTATACAGATTGAAGAACAGAGGAGACACGAAAATGTCCATCCACCTGATCCATATGCGGGTGGCAGCCCAAGGCTTTGTGGTGGGAGCAATGACCATTGGTAAGTTCCTAGAGGAAATGTTTAATTCTTGGTTACCTCTGTTAATGCATAGCTTTACAAACAAAACAGGGTAGAAAATTTTATCTGACTCTGCAACAGTTTGTAAATATCACCTATATCCATTTTCATATAAAAGTTGAATTATTAAGTAGTAATAAATTATCATTATGTAAATATATGATTTATATTTTCTTGAGGTTTTGAAAGTGGAAAAGATTTGAAGTGTAGGTATTGCATGCTTTCTGTGGGAGAAAGACGAGGCTTTGCGTACCTTCTACAGGATGGCTGTGAGTTCTAACTGACCGCATGACTCTTGACAACAACGTTGCCTTCTTTTATTGGCTTTGTCACTCCCGGACTTCATTTGGTATTATATAGCAAAAGTAACTCGTTTTAAAGTTGCCAAATAAATAATTGTGTTTCAAAACAATTATTTTTAACTGTATGAGCTAGTCATATTAGCCTTGAGCTACTTAGAAAATTGTGTGAGGGGACTTTAAAAAGTTTGTGGAAAAATGGAATTAAAAGATGATGGAATTTTTCCATGTACTTTTGAAGCCTTCTTGTTTATAAAAAGTTTTCAAATTTTAGGTTGTTTAGGAAAGCGAGAGTGTGAGCCACTTTGGTCTTATAAATAGTCCATGCTATCATGGTGTTGCTTTCAGCTGTTTTATGAACTGTTTTAAATTTTTTTAATATTGAAAGAAATATTTGAGTGTTTAACTAGCATTCTTTTTCTTTAGGTATGATGTATTCCATGTATCGGGAATTCTGGGCAAAACCTAAGCCATAGAAGAAGAGATGCTGACATCATCTTGTTAGTGTTGCTTGATTTCAGGTTATATGTTTATGTTGAAAATAAATCATTTGAGTGGGTTCATTGTTTTGAATATGGGCTTTCTTTATTGCAGACTTGACTTGCCTGGTGACCAAACTGCTAGTGCCTACAGCACTAATGAGGTCATTCAGGGGAATCAAGTTAGCAAAAAGATAGCAATAAAATGTCCCAATTCTTAAACTCTTGGAATGAAATTAATTCTGAAAAAGACAGCAGGCCAACACTGACATATTTTCAGTTGCCGCAAAATATCACATCTCTGGATGTCATGTGACAGTCCAGTGTCCCCCAGTGAAACTTTTCTGCCTGCTCTGTGGACTGGTTGAGACCCTCAGTTTCTAGTTGGCTCTTGAAGAACAATTTCAGAAATGTGGATGGAACATAACATATTGTCCCCCATAACTGAAAATGTCTGTATACTTAAATTAAACCTAAAAAGCTGGTGACAGCTGCCTAGAAGTAGTATTTATTTTAGAATGATAGTTATACATATGAGAATAACATAAATTATGGATACCAGTTTAGTTCTTTTGTAACTGTAGAATTAAGTTTTGCTGCTGTCGTATTAGATAATTTCTAAATGTCATCTTGAAATAAATTGTGTATGTTAACTGCTAATCCAAAAGTAAACAAAGAATACTTTTTAAATGTGTTAAGTGTTTTTATTTTCTCTTTAAGAATCTAAAGTGTTAAAGTAAACACTACCTATGTTGGAGGTCCTGGTATGGTGCTGTGACCTATAATGCATCAGACTGCAAAGTTATTTGAACTGCAAAGTTGGTGGTTCAATCTCCCCAGCTGCTCCTTGGAAACCCTATGTAGGGTTGCTATGGGTTGGAATTGACTTGACAGCACTTAACAACATATTGGAGGTGATCAGTGATTTTACAAGCTAGCTGGTTTGGTCAGATATTATAAACAAGCTTTGAAATACTTTAGAATATATTTTTGAAGTTTTCGTCTAACCTAAGTTTGCATCCCATGGCAATAACATGGCATAAATATTGTTATTAAAACAAATGAAATGCCACAAATGTGTTCATTTCAGTTTGACCAAAAGGAAAAATAATTTCCCAAAGTAGTACAAAAACAAAATCCCAAGAAAAGTGATGTTTTGTACCTTTGCTAGGCACCATTGTTAATAGGAATACTAGCTAACATTTACTGAGTGTTTACTGTTTGCTACATATAGCAGCATGTAGCATACAGAATGCCACTTAAGCTCCCTAACCACCCTAGAGGTAGGAACTATGTTTGGTCCTCATTTTACTGATGAGGAGACCGAAGGAAGCATAGACAGGTTAAATAACTTGCCCAGGTCAGTAGCTGGAGAAACTGAGAGGGATTAGGACTAGACCCTGGACAGTGTAGCTTCAGAGCCTGTACTCTTAGCCATTCTGGAGTACAGTCTCTAGAACTGATTATATAGATACATTGGTTTTTTCTGAGTTAGATGGAATGGGATTGTTTTAAGAAGCATTTTGGCTAGAAATCACAAGAAGTTGATTAGTGGTATCAGCGGTTAGGTGTTTGAGACTTAAAATATTGGAGTTGTTGTTAAGTGCCATTGGGTTGATTCTGACTTATAGAGAGACCCTTATAGAGTTTCCAAGGAACAGTTGATGAGTTTGGACCACCAACCTTGTAGTTCAAACCAACATTATACTCGAGTGCTTAAGTAAGCCAGGCATGGGGTTAGCAAAGGCCTCCTGAGGAAACAGTGTCCTACCTTAAGGGACTAGCTTTACTGGTGTGTTGATGCTTTTTCATTCAGAGTTAGAGCCTTGGTGTCATGTTCATTATTTTTGGAGATTGGTTATGGTTTTTTCCATGCTCCCCCCCACTATTCTGTTGAATATATGATGGTCTTTCTCATCCAAAGTACCTGGTATTAATTAATGCCTGATTCACTCAGATGTTCAATAAGTGTTTGCTAAATTAAAGAGCTTTTGTTTTTTATATTCTAAATCTTCTGTCCCTAGTGGGGGGAAAACATTTCTTGTGGAGTCCTGGTGTGGTTCTGTAGGATAAGCACTCAACCATAAGGTTGGTTTGAACCGCACGATTAGCGGCTTAAACTCACCAGCTGCTCCTCGGAAACCCTATACAGGTTCCTAACGACTCTGGACCAACTCCATGGCATGTAAACATTTCTAGTTAATGAGCAACAGTGACATCTGGTGGTGACAGCTGGAATTTGACGCCACAATTAGAAACCCTAAGTACACTGAGCACCACCAAGTCAAAAGACTTGGCCATCGAGAGGTGTGCCTCTTGCCTCATAGATGAGGAACTGCTATTCTAAATGAGTCACAATGTGAAATTTAGATTCTTTCACCATGTAAATATACAACCCATCACATATTTACTAGACCAAAACAAAGCTGAATGGATGAACAAAATGTATTTTTAAATTCTCATGTGTCAAATAGTGGAACCATCAAATACTCATATACTTGATGCTATGTGAAAGCTTGTCAAATAGAATGGATTGCCTCATGCCTTCTTACTGGTGAATGATTTTACCTGTTACTAGTTCAAGGAGCTCTGGTAGTGTGTTGTTGTTGTTATTGTCAGGTGCCATCGAGTCAGCACCGACTCATAGCGAGCGACCCTATGCACAGCAGAACAAAACAATGTCCAGTCCTGGGCCAACCTCACTACTGTTGCCACACTTGAGTCCATCAATGCTGCTACCTGGCCAATCC